CAGACTTGCATTGATCAGGGGAATGTATCACATCGTTTTAGAATGGGACACCTACAAAACTCCAAATTTAACAAAACCTAACAATCAACCGACTATCTAACCACAACATCAATTTCTCAATTCAATTCTATTAATTAATAGTTCAGAAAAAAAAAACGCAAGCTTGCTCAAAAATTGTATGTTTGATGAGACGTAAAAAACCCAAAGAGCAACTTAAAAACAGAAACTTTAAGCTAAACCCAACACAAAAGTGACATAGCACAAAGTCTACAAACTACATTTTCCATTAGATTCCCGCAAATTCTCACCAACCAAACAAAACGCGAAGCAAAGAGAAAACCCACCTCGGAAACAGGACTATGAGACGGATCGGAGAGATGGGGAGGCAGAGAACCCGAGTGCGCCGATCTCGCGATCCTTTCTCTCTCTCTGGCCTTACTATTCATAATCTCCATCTTCCTCAGCCTCCTCTCGTCCGACGACCCTTCCCTCACTCTCGGAGACGGCATGTCGTTCATTTCCCAGAGCGTGGCGGCGAGCTTCCTGGCAGACACTGGCGCTTGTTGCTTGGACCTGCCGGCGCCGTTCTGGGAGGAGGCGGCGTAGTTGGGGGAGTCCATGGCGCGCAATGCCGACGCTGTAGGTGACCTGGAGCTCATGAGCTTCCATGTGGGCACGGGCGTACTGGATCGGCCCCTCTTGCCCACCAGTATCGCCCTCTTGAATCTGTAGTTTTGGATGATCGAAGACGACGAAGAAGCTGACGATGAGCACCCTCGCTTTCTGATTTTGCCAGGGATCAGCAGGTTCATGCCCAAGCCGTTGTTCTGCCTCGGCATTTTTATTTTTTCGAAAACCAAAAATCAAAATAAAAAAAGAAAATGGAAAAAATTTGAAGTTGGTAGATTTGGGTTCAGGGGGTGATGAAACGTACCGTCTGGTTCATGGTGGGAATGAGAGGAAAACGAGGAGTGAAACCCTAGAAACTTATAAGAGGAGAGAGAGAGAGAGAGAGAGAGAGAGAGAGAGAGAGAGAGGTGGCTCCCACTTAGCTCAAGTTCCAGATTTGATCAGTACAGAGACAGAGTATTGAGCTTGTGCAGGGGACTTTCTCCTGTAAAGGGGCTAAAGAGGAAAGGGAAGGTGGAAGGCGCGGGAATGATTGGGTGAGGCCGAGATCAGGTGAGACTGAAACCGCGGCGGGCAGTTATTGGGCGGCGTTGATTGGGCTTTTCTTTTCATGGGTTTTAATGTTTCAACCAACCGTGTGGCCGTGGTTTCGCTCTACTTCTTTTAAAATTCGCGAAAATTGGGTGGATTTTTGGATGTTTTTTAAGCTTTGGAGTTCCTTCAACAACAAAAAATTATATATATATATATATTGGGGTTCCTAGAGTTTGAATAAATAAATAAATCCAGCAAGCATTTTCCACTTGGATAAAATTTCGTCCACTTCGGTTGTTTTAGGAAAAATTTTCCTTTAAAAAAAAAGTTAAGAAAAATATTTCTTTTATCTATGCGTAATGAAACATTCGAATTTGAAACTTCTTCCATTATTAGTATAAATAAAAAAATTCGTTAGACCAAAGAGTACTAAGACAACCCTGCATTAATCTAACCGTGCATTGGCATCAAGTTGAGTTAGGGCGTAATCTTATTCTCTAGAATCTCTGTTAAGAGATGTTCATCTCATCTAACATTCCAAAGGAGGTCAAGTAAATACAATTTAGAGGCAAAAAATAGTAGCAGATCAGCAATTAGTGTAAAAAACAAATTGGTGTTTCAGATGAATTTTTTTGTTTGTTTGACTGGAAGATGGTTTAGAATTTGATTGCTTGCCATTGAATTTTAACATCATTATTGCAATTTTCAAGGCTGAATTTGACATGAAGCGTAGCGCAACTTTAAATAATGACTCAAGTGCAATGATTTTCAATTGTGTGCAATTCAAAATTCACCCCACTTCTACCAGTTCACCTTTTCAAACAAATAATTATTTTTTTTAATATACAATAAGGAAAAGGTAAAGATTCCTCCTTCGATCACTGGAGAACTTCAAACTTTGCCGGTCAATTCAATTATATATATTGGTTGGAGACTTGAAGTGAAGAAACAATACTATTGTTTTGGTAATAAAAAGAATACTATATTTGTTAGGCCATTTTAGGATGTCAATGAGCTGGTTTGGTTTGGTTAGGTTTGGATTCTTTTCGATTTCAGCTAAACACATAATATATAATATAAGTTCTATTTGACTCGTGAGTTTAAAATGAGAATTATAAGTTAAGTTTCATTTGACTGGTGAGTTTAAGTGAGAATTTTATACTTGATTTTGTTTGCCTAGAATTTACTCTTTGAAGATTTATATGGGAGCTAGAAGAATTATAGGCCCGTTTGATAATTATTATTTTTTATTTTTTTTGTGTTAGAGTATGGAGGAAAATGAGAATGATAATACGAGAGATGATCAATTGAGTAATTTTTACATGTTCGGGTACACTACATGGCTGATGTACCATCCAATATACATGAAACTTGTGGAAATATTGACCAATACATATAGGACATAAAAATAAAATATTTCTATGTTTTAGATGTATTGGATAATACACCAGCCATGTAGTATACCCGGAATATACAAAAATTTATCCAAATTGAGATAGAGAAGAGAGGATGGGAGGGGGAGTAACAAAAGTGAAAAAAAAAGAAGGTGAAAGTGAAAACAATTTCAAATAAATTACAAAAACTAAAAACTAAAATTGAAATAGTTATCAAACGGGTCCATAAGTTTTGTAATTTTTGTTAGGCTTCAGCCTTCCTTTTTATCAAACAGAAGAGTTGTCTTTTTTTATTAAGGCTCGAAAGAAAATTACATATCTAAGTGATTTTAAGGTTGTGATAACATTTTATCAAGTCTAATAATAATTCCATTCCTAATATTAAAACAGATCTCAAGTACGAATTCCCTTATTCTCGTTGATTTACATAAAACCTTGGCTGCCCATTCATCTTGTACTATCTATGTGTCACGTGAAACATTTGGCGTCGGTGAAAATCAAAGCCTTCATTCAGTTTTTTCCTGTGGCTATAATCTTAATGGCTATACCCTATGCCATACCATATGGCCTATAATATAGACTTTTATGTGATACATTGTCCAAATTTTCCTTGCTTCAAATTGGTTTCCTTTCTAAAGTAGGACATATTTTGTAGCTTGGTGCTGACGTTGCTCCTCTTACTGTGCCCTCTCACTAAAGATATAGGCTTTTGTCAACAGTGGGACTCTTTTTTATTTATTACCCAATTGATGCTAAGAATAAGAGGTTCAAAACCAACCATATCCCATGTGGTTTCTTTTTCTCAAGACCTAGGAAGTCCCTTTGATGCGTTCAAGGAGCTACAGAGAGGAGGAAAAAAAATATGGATTAAGGACAACTCATATGCATAGGTTTCTGTTTCTGTTTGGTGGTTGGTTCCTTTTTAAACTTGTTTGTGATTAAACTGGAACCCTTGTTGGCCCACGAAGAAAAATATAATTTGTACATAAACTTTTCTTTTACAAAATTTGTCATAACTATTTTTTATCTACTTGTAATAATAGTCTAAACTACTCGTATTTATACAGAAGATAGAATTCATGTGTAAGGGAGAAGACACACTAACCCACAACAGCAATTTTGTCATATATTTAACATTATGTCAAATGACATAACGTGTGAATTAATAACATCGTGTGAACATGAAATTTATAATAAATTTCCGTGACAACCCCAAATTTTTTTTTTAAAAAAAATAATATACACAAGCCACTATGCCAATTTGGGAAAGAACAAAAAAAGTTTTATTTTTTGGTTAAATGGAAAAAAGAAAAGAAAAAGGAGTTTAATGCAAACTCTTTGTAACTTTAATATCACTATCAAACGAGAAATTCTTGACAAGAATGGCAGGCAGGCAGGCACAGAACACAGCATGACAGGGACGAGCATTTTGTATGGGAATGACTAAGCACTTCCATGTCCATCCAATTTTGTGTGTCTAAGAGGCTAGCTAATCTCATGAATAAAAACAAAGTGGAAAAGCTGGTTCCAACTGAATTTCGGTCGGCAACAAGCCCATCTATCATGTCACAGTCACTGAAAATGGACAAGTGAATTTTAATATTCATCTATGTATATAAAACAAAAGATAAAAAATAATATTCAAAATATGAAAGTGTGATTAGTTAATGTAAATATTAAAAATTAAATTATTAATTAAATAAAAATAATATGATAAATATATATTTTTTCATATTAAAAAAAATTAAAATTAAAAAAATTAAAGAATTGATCATATTTTTATAGAATATAACTATTCATTATCTTTTTAAATTCTAAAATAATTTTTTTTTTTAATTTTTAAAACATCTCGATTGGACAGAAGTGCGTGCGAAAAAACTAATTTTATGCTAATAAAATAAAAGAAACCTAGCATTGACCACGATTTGAAAGTCTTTTTATCCTAATATACTAATATGAAAGAGCGTGCTCTTATTCTTTTTGCCCCTTTTGTATGTTTTTCTCAAAAATCTAGATTTAAACTTAAATTGAAGCAAAAGGATAGGGAAACAAAAGGAGATTATGAATCCTGCAAAGAATTGTAACTCGAGCATTAAGATCATTTATTCCTGCACTTGATGCCCAGTGTTTGATTCCTCACATACAGAACTACGAATCATACTATCTATCACCCACCACACCACACACCCCATATCAAAACTTAAATAGGACTTAATCACAGCAGGTAAACCCCATCTCCATGAATTACATGTGCTTTACTTCTCTACCCACCACTATATTTTTCCTTTTATTTGTGAGTCTCATTTCCAGAAAAAAGTAGTCGATTTTCCCAACAAAAAGGAAATCAAACTTTTCGCGATTTTTTTTTGTCCATGACAGCCCAACTCCTTTGACTCTATCCTATAAACCTTCTGGACTTTGGAATCTCTCTCTCTCTCTCTCTCTCAGAGTTGCGAAGAAACGGAACCCACAAAAACAAAATTATCCATGTCCCCATTTCTCTGTTTTTCTTTCTTCTTTTTGCTGCAGTTTCCTCTTATTTCATTTTCCAAAACCACACCTGCTGGTGCCAGGTTTCCATCTTCACTCATTACCCCTGAAAAGGTCTCTGCTTCTACTCAAAACAAACTTTACAGAACCAAATACTTCACCCAAATACTTGACCATTTCAATTTCTACCCCAAAAGCTACCAAACTTTCCAGCAAAGGTATTTGATCAATGACACATTCTGGGGAGGAGCCAAGAACAATGCTCCAATCTTTGTCTACACAGGGAATGAAGGAAACATAGAATGGTTTGCACAAAACTTAGGTTTTCTCTATGAGACAGCACCCCATTTCAAATCCCTTGTCGTTTTCATTGAGGTAAAATTTTGATCCCCAAATCAGATTCGAGATGATTTTGTTATGTTGTTGCACTGTCAATCTAGTACCTGATTAACATCAGACTGTCTGGTAAAACAAGGTTTGTATGCAATTTGAAAAACCGTAACGCATATATATAAGATGATCAAATTTGCAGCATAGGTTCTATGGGAAGTCTATACCTTATGGGGGCAAGAAGAGCGTGGCTTATAGCAATGCATCTACACTTGGGCATCTGAGCTCAACACAGGCATTGGCAGATTATGCTTCCTTAATTATTGATTTGAAGAAGAATTTATCAGCAACTGACTCTCCTGTGGTGGTCTTCGGAGGTTCCTACGGAGGAAGTATGTGAATACATTCATCTTTTTATGTATTTATAATATTGTATAATGTACGTTTGATTGAACAGCTGGCTGGATTTGTTGCTTGTGATTCGTCGGGTGATCAAATTAATTTAAGTTTAAAATGCAGTGCTGGCAGCATGGTTTAGGTTGAAGTATCCGCACGTTACAATCGGAGCCTTGGCATCATCTTCACCTATTCTCAATTTCGAGAATATAACGTCTTCATATAGCTTCCGCAACATCGTCACTCAAGACTTTAAGGTCCTCTCTCTCTCTCTGTTTTATTTTATTGAAAATGAACTCTATTTTTGTGAAATGTGAGACAGTCGAGTCAACCGGCTATATATGATTAACAATTGACAGTCTCACATTTCATAAAACGAAATTTTGCCTAAGATTGAACGAAATGATTCAAAGGCCTGAAATCACATATAGACTATAATTGCTGTAAAAAACAAACAAACAAACAAACAAACAAACTTAAATATCTTATCTATAAATGGTCCAATATTAATGTGGCAATGCACGTGTCACACACATACCTATAATACTGTTCTGATAAAGTAATGTTATTATTGGGAGCATATTTAAGATTTTTAATTACAGTCTGCAAAGCACATGCATCGTAATTAACCTTAATTAATGCTAATAAACTTTTCTGAATAATTATGTTATTGTTTGCATGTGTATTAGAGTGTGAGTGAAAATTGTTATAAAGTGATCAAAGGCTCATGGGAACAGATCGAAAACACAGCAAACCAACCTGGAGGGCTTGAGCTACTACGAAAATCATTTAAATTATGCAAGTATGACCACAACCCAACCCATAAAGCCTAGCATAATGTTAAAACTAGGCTTTTCTCTCTTCTTTTTTTGTCGTAAAAAAATTGTTTTGACGTCTTTCAGTTTTGAAAAGAGAAGTATCGGTGAATTAACGGCTAGTTTAGTTTATTAATTATAAATTATTAAAGTTTGTTTTATTTCTTTCAGAAATGGCGCAGATTTAGATTATCTTGAAGATTGGCTTTCCACTGCATACGCTTACACAGCAATGACGGATTATCCTACTCCCTCAAATTTCTTATGTCCCTTGCCAGCATTTCCAGTGAAGAAGGTAAAAGAAAAGGAAAGAATACAATTTTATTTTATTTTTATATTTCTTAGTTCATGAAGGTGCATAATAGGAATTTGACTTTATTGGGGGTGCAGATGTGTGAGGCGATAGATGATCCGACGACTGGAAATGACACATTTGCGAAATTGTACGGTGCAGCTAATGTATACTATAACTACAGTGGGACAGTCACGTGTTTCGAACTTGATGATAACTCTGATCCTCACGACCTTGGAGGATGGTATTGGCAGGTAGGAGAACATTCCTCATTTTTCTCTAAATACCGAAGTGTTTTTTTTTTTGGGGGGTGGGGGTTTTTTTTAAGATTACAACGAGAAAAAAAGAATTATGCTAACGTCAATCGTTATTGGTCTCACATGAATTTTATACTTATTAATGTATGTGATAACTTAATAGGTCACGAATAAATTAGGCTAACACACAATAATTAAAATGAATTTTCGTAGATACGCAATGCTTTTTAATGATGACTAAAATGTCAAACTTGATACGACTAAAGGATATTATAATTTAGAAATTCTAATAATTAACCCCAATAAAGATCATCTTATTATAAGGTCCATATACAAGGAATCAATTATCAACCCAATAAAAAAGAAGAAACACTTTTGTGAGTTAGAATAAAAACATCTAGACTAATAGAGAGAGCACATGGGATTAGTATCCAAGAAAAGCATGTTCTCACAATCAAAAGTTGAGCCTTAAACTCATAATTGAGTACAACTAATCATTTTCCCTTTGGAGCCTGAGAAAAGAAATTAGATTTTTATCTCACCATGTAAGTTTGCAGAAAGTTACCACTCTTTAACTTTTTTTATTTATTAACATCATAATAATAATGATCATCATAGTGTACTGAAAATTTTGATGGGTTGGTCACATGTTGCTCAGTTTGGCTTGAAATTTTTTAATTTTTTAATTTTGAGCACAAGCGATTGGGAATGGGGGATTTACACAAATTTCATTAGGTGCCTGGAGTTTTCAAACGTCTATCAACATAAGTGAAGGTGGAAGAATTCCACCAACGGAGCGATACCGCAATATGACTTGAAATTTTTTGATTTGGTGCAGGCTTGTACAGAGATGATAATGCCAACCGGTGGAAACAATGAGGACAGCATATTCCCAGCTTCTGATTGGGATTACAAAGACCAAGCCTCTGTATGCAAAAGCAGATTTGGCATTGAACCTAGGCCCCTTTGGATCACCACTGAGTTCGGCGGCCATGTTAGTCCCATCATTTTCTATCATTATTTTCTACCAAAATTTTAATTTTTGGTTTTTATTTTACTTTTTATTTTTAATTTTTGGCAGGCTATTGAGAGGGTTTTGAAAAGATATGGAAGCAATATTATCTTCTTCAATGGCTTAAGAGACCCTTGGAGTGGTGGAGGGTAATAATATAATTACCGCTTTCCAATTTCTCAGTTTTGTCAGCATGGTAAAACTGGCTAATGAATGGTTAATATTATTGTTGGGGGTTTTTTTTTTGGGCAGGGTGCTGAAGAATATATCCAAGAGCATAGTAGCCATTGTTGCAAAAGAAGGTTAGTAGTTACAATTTGATACCAAAATTACAAATAAATAATAATAAAAAATATATATGGAAATTAAGGAGAATATTGACATGTATGATTGTGGTATATTGGTTCTTAACAGGTGCTCACCATGTAGATTTGATGTTCAAGAGCAGTGAGGATCCAGAATGGCTTCAAGATGTGAGGAAACAAGAGATCAAGATCATTGCAAAGTGGATCTCCCAATATTACCATGACCTTGCTCAACTCTTTTGATCATATATATTCAGATCCTGCCACACAGTAATTGGATTTGTCATTTTACCCCCCATTTTGATTCAAATAAAAATATTAGGAAATAAAATCCCCACCAAATCAAAATATGAAGAATTGGTTTTAGTGCAAAATACGATTTATGCTAAAATGATGGCTCATTAAGTCAATTTATACTTCATACTAAAATCCCATAAAATCAAGTTTTCGATGTGTAAGGAATAAAAGCTGTCAAAAATTATCTTGAGAAAATGATTATTCCGAAAAATCATTTTTCATACTTAGTCAATATTTTTACATAAAACAATTTTTCATGTATGATATGAATGCATGAAGGGACCTAAGGTCAATCTAAGTAAAAAGCCTTAGATGTTCAATCAACAAAGAGTTTTTAGCCTTTCAAAATTGCACATCAGCTAAAAAATTCCTGGGTCCGTTAGTTCTACCACACCAATAGTCATAGTCCTGCCTTCTACATTTGTATTTGGTGTTAAAGTTTGTCCCAAACATCAATTTTAATCATTTTCCATTAACGTATCCCCAAAAGAGAAGCATTTTTTAAAAAAATTCACCCTTTCATGAATAATATGGGTCTAATTCCATTTTTTTTCTTATGTTCACAACTAGCGTGATTTATATGATTTAACGTATACTTTTATTTCTAGAAAAACTATAGAAACTGTTAGTATAAAAAAAATTATCATTAGATTTTAACATAATAACTTTAGCTAACCCACCCATTAAAAATTCCTGGTTCCACCCTTGGTTTTATGATGAGAGTGTCATATATGGACTATAAATGTGGACTTTCATATTGGTCATATAATTCATTTGAATAGTAAATTCACTTATGTTTAATGAAATGATCATGTGGCTAATATGAAGGTCCACATAAAGAGTCCACATATGATACCATAACTATTGAATTTCGCATTCAGAATGAATGTCAATGAAGTTTTTTTTTGTTTTTGTTTTTTTGTAAGCAATGTCAATGAAGTTTATTTGCCTCAAAAGAAAATAGGCTGCAGAAATTTAAAAGCCCTTCTGATTGTTGTAGTGGGATTGAGCAAAGAAGAAAATGAAAGCAAAGATTTTTATAAGAAATTTTCAGCGCAGAGTAAAAGCCCAATATCAGAAATTTTCAACACAAAAAGAAATTTTAGGGGCCCAATAGACAGAAACAAACTGGAGCCCAAAAGCAGGAGCGGAACTTTAAAAAAATAAAATTAGAAAGGGAGCCCACTAACTTATATGCACTAAATGAAATACATATTAATTAAAATTAGGATTTTTAACGGTAGACGTCTTTGAATTTTACCTCGAGTTTCAATTGAGTCCCGCAACTTTTTTTTAGACAATTACATCTGTTAACTCAACACGTAGTTTCAATTAGATCCTACTTTGACAAAATCTGCCGAGTTTAACCATGTGAATGGCACGTTGTTAGGGGTATATTGGACATTAGGAATGGTTAAGCAAAATATAGGGGAATTTGGCACAAGGAGAGAAGGGCAAGGGCTTTTTCGATTTTTCCGTACTAGTGAACCTAGCCTTCTGTCAGACATTGGAGTTCAATTTGCAACCCTCGTTTGGTGTTCTGCAATTGAAACAACACCTCACACCAATTTCATATCAAACTTACCCGATTATTGCCGCATGCCTCAAACCTTTTTTCAGGATTAAGATCCGTCCATGAAATTCAACGTTTGATTTCCGACCCACACTACAATAACAATAGCTATGATTTGAGTATGTGAAACTCTATGACATTTTTCCTCAAGAGTTTCTTCATTTGGGATTTCTAACGGCTTATGGAGCACAATTGGGACTCGATGGCTGACTAGGTCAACTTAGGAGACTATTGAGCTAGAAATTATGCTTTTAGCCCTCATTTTGAAGGGCAAATTGACAAACTATCATGGTATAACCTAATTGCAACTACTTGTCAAGTTAATGGGTGTAATTGCCTAAAAAAAAGTTGCGGGACTCAATTGCAACTCAAGGTAAAGTTAAGGGACGTCCATAGTTTAAAAAAAAAAATTGTGTAGTATTATTGTGGGGATTTATAGCTCTGCGTGAGCCACTTAAACGATATTTTTTAGTGTGATCAATCGTGGTGTTGCCAATTCATCTATGGTGTTCCATTCTCTCCCGTCTCCTCTTTTAGTTTTTCTTTTCTTTATTCACATACCACTGTTCACTTCTAATTTCTTGCCCAATTGATCAGTGAAAAATCCAAATATATTAGGAGCACATTTACATGCACCAATTGAATCCCTTATTTTCCTATCCACCCCCCCTTAGATTTTTTCCTTGTTGCAGAAACAGGAGATGCTCCTACAATCAAATGACAGAACCCAATAGTTAGGTATTAGTGATGACTTATATATCTCTCTCTCCTCCAGCTTGAGCTAGTTTTGGAACTTTATTATCATACCTAACTTACTATTAGGAGGAGCAGAGCACAGGACATATGTCATGTGTATAAAAAAGTGTTGTAAGAAAAGGAGGCACAGGCATGAATGTCTGATTTAAAACGTGCATGCTGCTGATTAATTCTGAATAAGTGAAATAGATGGGCAAGGTCCCCGTTCAGCTTACTTTATTCAAAGTTAGGCAGCTGGGGTCATGCAGCAAAAGGGTCGGTTCTTCGTTGTTCAAAATTTGGTAAAGGTTGGGTTTTCCATTCAAAGACAATTTTGATAGTGAAATACTGTGATGTGAAAGTCATTGATATGTATGACCATATGGACCACATGATCATTACGCAAATGTGGAAAAATTATTCATCTATTTCATCATGCCGTAAAAACAAGTCTTTAGAGTAGAACAAGTTTTGCCTAGGTTAAACGATTTGTATATATGGACAAAAGAAAATAATAGGAGTCAAAGGAATTAATACAAGGTTGAGAATGTCTATGGGGATGAGAGGTGAGAAAAGGTATTTATTGGTAATTGTTTTTATTTTAGTTTTTAGTTTTCACTTTGTTGTTAAAAATAGAGGGGGAATGCGAGAAAGAAAAGAGGAATGAAAAAGAGTGGAAGAAATGAGTATGAAATGAAATGACACCAAAAATGAAAACTAAGAACGAAAAACAACTTTTAGTAGGGTTTGTTCTCTCTCGAGTTTTTGTTACATTATATTCTCCTCCTTTCTCCCTCTTTCCTCTCACTGCCCTTCCTCCACCATTCTTTATTCATAATTTCTCCCATATAATTTTTCTTTATCTTTAGCAAGAATACATGAAAATGAAAAACCTAAAAACGAAATTTACCGGAATTTGAAGATCTCTTCTAACATTAGGAAGAGAAATACTACTAGAACAGTTGGTTTATCATTAAGAACAATTTGATGGGTAACTCAATATGGTGTCAAATACATTATATATATACATATAACTTTACGTGTGAACATATGAAAATGAGATACAAGCTACATAAAAGCTACCTAACGCATGCTGCTGCAACATTGAAAAAATTTGCTACGCCATAACCTCTGAAAGGCAAGTTGACAGAGTCCCTTTCACCACCCATGTCCCAATCTTTCTCAATTCAATTCCTTGGCAATTTGAGGGTCAAGACCTCAATAAGACCCTTCTCAAGCCCTTTTCTTTTTGGTCAGAGAGTAGAGACCCTAATACATACTCATACATCATCCATAGTTTCCTATACATTCCTCTGCAAAACCCTACAATGGTATGGTTTATGGTCCCAGTCTAAAACTAAAAACCCACCACGCCACCAGGTCGACGTACGTTATTTTTTCAGTTCTACAGTACCTCAAGCCACGTGTCAATAACCCAATTGCACCACCATGCTTCTGATGTTCCAAATTTTTTACCCTTCTTTTGCTCTATTTGCTCACATTTCACCCAAGATATAAAATAAATTACAGGAGGAAACACATGCAGATAGATAATAGTAATGTATGCAGAGCCTCGCATCCGGCCAGCCAGCCAAACAGTTAAATGGACAAAGAGTGAAAATGGGTTTGGGTTCATCATTAGTTGCGGGCCCCACACGAAGGGGCCCACTTCAAAAACAAAGAAACATATTGATCTTGTGGACCCTACCTGCTGATGGAGGCCTCGCATGCCTTTCTGTTCTGGTAGGTGAAGGGAAGGGAAGGGGGAGGAGAGGAGGGAAGGGGAGGGGAAAATAAATTAATTTCACGAGACATTTAGGGGCAGGTCGGCCAGAGCACCGTATAGTTTTGGATCCTGCAATTTTTTATTGTTTTCCCAAACTCCATGTTAACTTAAGCTGTGTGGCTGTGATTGAATTATGAGACATTTGCTCCTGCAAAAGACATATGCCTTGGGAATTTGCTTTTTATTTAATTTAATTTTGTTGGCTGCTTGGAAGTTGGCTAGAAATTAAATTAATATTATTATGGTTTCTTTTTGTTTTGTATTTTTTGGTAAGTCTACAGTGCCAGGTATTTCATCATGCATGCTTTGTTTGGATGCCGTATTTTTAGCAAAAACCCACTCAGGAGTGAGAAGAGAGATGATGGGTGATGCGAGAAACTTTGGTGTTTTGTTTCTGAGATTTTAAATGCTTCAAATTGCAGGCCAACTAATATATTTCTTGGGCGAATTCATTTTTTGTCTGATATGTCGGAACTTTCGCCGACTTATGGTGGCATACCTTTCACCATATTAAATCACTTTATTTTCATTTCTGTTGTAATTATAATTATAACGTATCTTATAATCATGCGTTTGTTGATGCATTCTACACTTATCAACGGCCAAAATTAACTTACAACTATGTGCGCAGCGCAGCTTCTCATGCTCGTTAATATTACCTTTGCCGATCATCGTTTCAATGTTAGGCACCTCTGAATATGTTGCACCCACTCCCTCCTCATCCGTATCCCTATCAAATTGAACCCATATCACCTGGAGCTAATCATTCAAGTTGAAAGAAGATATAATCATACTCTGCATTGCTTAAGCTGGCATCACCCAAGAAAATTAGGTCTAAGAAATCGGCTGCATAAATTTGCAGGTGTGAACAGATACCAAAATGTGGTCCATTACAAGACATGCATTCTTCATGTGAGGAGGACCAATCCAAGGTCCCCACTTTCGA